ATATTTGATATATGTTTTACAGTATAATCTGAGGTTGCAACAATATTTTGTAAAATTTTTACTTTGAGTTCTTTATTTGTCCTACAATGATGAAATTCACAGTGTCTTTGCAACTCACAGAGTCTGCCACAGGAGGCGCCAATAAGTCAGGGACTCGAACCTAGCACCTTCTGCATGTAAGGCAAGCAGGATAACCGCTGCATTATGGAACTACATACTCTTACTATTACAATTACATCACAATTATTACAAATATTTCAGAGAAGTAGGAACTTTACATTTAAATAAGTAATAGGCATGAATGACCCAGTACTACATGTCTGTACTTCATGTACTGATACTTACTGTAGCACCAACTTCTGACTACAGATAATAAGTCAGATAGAAATGTAAATCATGAAACTCAGTGGATCATAATAGAACAGACCATTGAATAATTACAAATATTGTTTTATTTTTTTACCTTTGGTTTTTAGGTGTAAAATCCCCAAATTGAGTTCTTCGACAAAGTATTTCTCATTCATGAGCTACAACAGAGTATTTGTTTGTTTTTCCTTTCTATCATCAGTCTGAAGACCACCTTCATTAATGATTTCTTTGACCCCACAGTCAACGCATCAATAGACCTAAACCAGACGTCGATCAATGAATTCCATCAATACCACCTGACCCTGACCCAACATGTTGACCTTTACTACAATCTACTGCGACCAGGCTTCACGGAGCAGCGACGTCATCCTCTGATAGAGAAACATAACTCAGAGACAGGACGGGACGGAAAGGAAGACGGTGGGAGAAAATGAGAAGTCGAGAAAGAGGAAACGGATGCAGCTCCATAATCGTATAACGTCCTCTGGTCTATATTTCGTTCTGATGGCTACTCGGGCTAAAAGCAAGAATGCGAAACTCTGGAAAATAAAAGGAAGATAAAAACAAAGTTAGAAGGAGGCAGGGAGGTGATATAAGCAGATGTTATGTGGGGGAGAAAGAGGAGCAGGCTAAGAGAGGAGCAACCAAACAATAAAAATGCAAATGAAAGCCATGAAAAAAAAAAAAAGAGGGGATGAGCTGCGGAGTCTGCCAAGAAGAAGAAGAAGAGGAGGAGGAGGTGTAGGAGGAGAAAGTGAAGGTCTTTACTGGAGGAGGTTTGTAAAATTCATAGTATAATCCTGCTGCTGTTTGGCCTCCAGCTGGAGGGTTTGGCAGATCAATACTGGTCCACCAACTCCAAACCACGGACAAATAAGGATGAAGATGAAAAAAGGACAAATTATAAAGAAAGAAAAACAACAACAGTAGAGGCGTGTGTTCTCTGAGGCACCACCACTGTTTTAGCTTTTCAGCGAGAGTCAGATTAGTGTGGGAGAACTTTCATAAACACGCTCCTCTATTACCGCCCCCATTGTTCATGATTAATGAGATTACAGTTGCTTTTGCGCACAGATCCAGGAACGTCGCAGCAGCTAATTGCTCGTCTCTCCCTAAATTGGAGGCTGCTTTGTTTCATGTTTGTTTTCAGCTTGAATTTGCTTGCTGTGATGAAAACTCCGAGTGGAGAGAGCGTACCTGCAGCTGATGAAGATAATTGAAAGAAATTGAAAGGGAGTGGAGGACAGAGTGAGACAGTGAGAGCTCAGGGAGAAATCACATTCAATGATGCACAGCTGCACTGAACAGAAACAAGGACCTGGTGAAGGTTCAATGACAGGAGGAGATAAAGAGGAGACGAGGAGGAGTGCGTTGTAGCAAAGTGATAGAAAAGAGCAAACCTTAAAGATAAAAATTTGGGTTAAAAGAGAAGAAAAGGTGGGAGTACGGGGGAGCGGGGGGGCGGTAGAGCGTTGGCTGAGGTGAGAGGGAAAAAAAAGGAGTTGTGAGGAAATAGATGGAGAAAATGACGGAGACAAAAGGAGAGGAGATTGCTTTGAACGCGGTAGATCTGTCAGAATTGAATCACAGGCTGGCAGCTGTAAGCTCTGATAGTGCCGTGGCTCTAAATATAACAGGCTGGAGATGGAGCGATAGCAGCACAACAGCAGACACACACACAGGAGCGTGAGTGTGAGTGTGAGGGGAATCAGCAGCTTCCAACATGAGGAGAGGGGAGAAAAAAAAAGACGGCATAAAAACCTAATTACTGCTCAGCACTTGGTGAGTTTGATGTGATGATATTTTAAACACAAACAAATGTGTTCGCTAACACAATAAGACACGCAGAGGCCAGCACCCAAACACCAATGATCCGCTCGGCAGACAGGCAAATATCAGCGAGGGACAGTCCACTCCTAACACTGAACACATTTCATTTTTTTTTTTATCAGATCAAAATAACCTTAAATTATTTATTTATTTATTTTTAGGGATGTCAAACAATCAAAATACTTTAATTTGATTAATCATAGAGAAGCTCTGGATCAATCGATTAGTCATGATTAATCATGAATAATCAAAATGTTCAACTAATCGTGATTTAGGTTTAAATTTCACAATTAAGCATTATTACTTGAGATAATTCAACTTCCTTCTGACGCTATGGTAAAGATCCTGGTGACATTTACATTTTTTTATTTAATCATCCCGCCCAGACCATGCTTTCACCATCTGCCCCCACATCACAGGGGCAGAAACGCTACACTGTGATCACATCTGTGAGCGAGGGCAGTAAATGTTGCCCTGGGGTCTGGAAGTCGACTCCAGGCATCAGCCTCAGCCCGAGGCTGCGAGGGTGTCGGATGGAGCGACAGTGTTTGTGAAGTGTGAAACTAAAACCTCGACCCACCGTTCTTCCTCTCCTCTTTCTCATCTGTCACTCCTGCTTCAAACCAACCTGCCGAGACACACAGGTGAGTTCTACTGCTGCTGCTGCTGTCATCGATACGTCAGTGACCAGTCACAAACACACTTCAGTTTTACTGGTGTTTCCTCTCCATCGCTGGTGGAGTTGGCCTACATACCAGGAGTCGGCGCAGGGCCGGGCACCAGTATCATCCTGCATGGAAAATTAATTAACACTGAGGTCGTTAGCTCACGTAAACAAGGCGCTGGAACACACATTACTGTACTGGGACTTGTGCCTTCGGTTTGTTGGCATGTGTGTTAGTAATTATGAAGGTGTGTTTCCCTCCAGGGCCTGTAGAGCGGCCAGTTGCATAAATGCAGCTGTACTACAGTCTAATTGAAGTTCCTTTGATCAGTGCAACTGGAGACTACATGTGATGTAATCTTCTAATTAAAAAATAAAATGTGTTTGATATAAGTGATGCATGCCCAAAATAAGGCCTTTTGGGGCACATGAACATGTTTTATGTACTTTCTTTTATTAACAGTGGGTCAGTTAATAATGTTTGGCAATTATATAAAAGCTATCATTCAATATCTTTTGTTCTAGGCTAAGTCTTAGCTCGGAAAAAACTATGCACACAATCTATGCACATATATATTTATCCATACATCTCTACCAAAAGAGCGTCTTAAATAGTTAAACTCAATTTTTCTTCACCTCCGTACACAGATACGTAGCAACAGAAGAAAGAGAGAAACACAGAAAGAGACGTCGGGAAAAGGTAAAAAGAAGAGCAAAGATATACTGAAGCTTTTCATACTAAACTCAAGTGCACCCTGGGAGACACACACACACACACACACACACACACACACACACACACACTTTCTCAGTACCTGCTGTACCTGGTACACTTTCTGCTGAGCATAAGTGATGACGTTCTCTGTGGAGCTCCCAAAGCTGCCGAGCACAGCAGGTGATGATGAAGCTGCTTTTTTTGCTGCTGATGCTTCCTTCCTTCGTTCCTTCATCCGTTCTTTGTTGGGTTTTTTCATTTTCACTTTTTGGTTTTGTGCCTGGCTTCAATTGAATGTGAGAGGAGACGCTGAGATGTTTCAGGCTTCTCGAGCTGGCCTTTGTGTGCACATCAGCACCAGCCATTCCACTAAATCTCTGCTGAAAGCACCTGTCAAAAGACGGATTCTCAAACACACACACACACACACACAGGCACAAAGTGAATAGAACGTTTTCATCTGGACGAATGGCTGCCATCTAGTGTTCAATGGGAAACTACCTCAAAACCAGCAAAACAAAATTGTATTCTCTGCTTTCTAATAAAATTTCACAGTAAAAAAAGTAGAATTAGTTGAGTACATGAGTGTAAAAAACTATTGCTCACATTTTTTTTAAGATTAAAAGTATGATAACACAGAACAGAAGAACAAGACAGCCTAGAAATGTTATAGTTTTTGAAAAATCTGTATGTACTGTAAAAAAGGGGTGGAAAACCTGGGCTTGTATAATTTATTAGATCGGTTCGATCATCCTTCGAGATCAATAGGAGCATCCACTTACATCGTAAACTCAGGATTCGATGTTTACTTCATCAGCCAATCGAACGTGTTTTCATACAGTCAGCTGAAACACTGGCAAAGACACAGGACAGATATCAGGGTGACAGCGTTTTACTCATGAACACATTTGTCCACTCTTCACACACCTTGGTTTGACTTCACATCATCCTCCTCTTGTTCATCAGCCTCCTTCAAAATATTATATTAAATGAAAACGTATGCATCGAGCTGCTACTTGGTGCTTAGCACAAGAGAGTTTGCATGAAAATGTGTGCAAACCCATATGTGTTTGTCCTTATATGTGGACCAGCAAAGGACAGCGAGACTGTCCAGGGTGGACCAGACTTTCAGCGTGGACTTCTGTGATTGGCCGCAGCCCCTGACACTCCTCCCATCAAGACCCTGAAAAGGATTGAGTGGTGAAAGATGAGTTATGAGTATGAAAGAATGTACAACAGTATGCACCAATTTTCTCTTGCAATTAATTTCCTCCCCTGCAGGGGGTGCTACAATCTACAACACAGAGTTTGAGAAACCTTGGATTTGAGACAGAATTTTCTGCTCATTTAAAATCTTTGCAGCTCGATTTGATCTTAATCTTAAATCTTTATGAATTTCAATGAACACAAATGAAACAGAACTGTTTTCATAGACATTTATTCTTTGTACAGTTGCAAGGAATCCTTTGGAAATCCATATAATCACTCACTGATAGAAAAATACATTTGCTGCACCATGGTCACTCCACACTCGCACATACGTTGAGTTCAACGAAAATAGCATAGAAAGAAGAGCTCAGGTGAGGACTGTGACGTTTGTATAAAACAAGAGCGGATGTGAGCGTGCAGTCGTGACGTTGGTTAGGTATGAAAGTGTCGCTCGTACAAAAACATAGGTGGTTTTTTTTTTAATATATATACATTTGTATATTTTTTTTAGAATATTCTCTATAAAATATATCAGTGGCGATAGTAGCTTTTTTTTTAATGATTGTGTGCAAACATCTGGAAAAAACAGTAGCTTCTGTCTCCGGCGATTAAAGATATCCTGTAGAGTTGTGATGTGAAGGAAACGTCTTTGGAGAGATTCTTCTTCGTATTTGGCTTCACGTATAAAAATCAAGTAGGATGGTCTTCAGTACAATGTCGTGTCGGCACATTATGCAGTGAGTGTTACATAAAAAAATGTGAGTAATTTTCCATTTTGCTGCCCACTGAAGAGCTTCACTACGACCCATGAGTCATGACGTGTCCCAGTTTAACACAGTGTAGAAATGTGCAGCAGGAGCAGATGTTCCTCCATCGGGAGAAGGAGAAGGCGTCCCAGGAAAACGTGAACAAGTTTGGCTGTTTTTATCATCTGCTTGGAGCAGTTTTTGTTTGGTTTTTGTTGTTGTACTTTTCACTTTGGCCTCTCACCCGGCTGCTGCGGAGCGCTTTTATTTACGAGACCATGTCTCTGAAACAGGAAGTTCTTCACACCAGAAAACAATGCAGCCGATAACCCGACACGCCTGGTTTGACATTCAGCTGAACTTTTAAACGAGAAGGCGGCAGAGTTCGCTGTGGTTTAGTTTGACATCTTCACTTACTGAGGTTTCATAGCTCCTAAGTAACAAGGTTTGGGTGACCTGAGCCTCACATGGAGAGAGGGCGTCCCTGCAGCGTGATGGTGTCTGAGCTGAGCTGGAGGTTGGAACAGTCCCTCAGAGCACTGCAGCTATAGATGGCTGTGTAATGGAGGACAAACGTGCACACGTGCACGCACACACACACACACACAGGGAAGAGAACAGAGAAAAAAATAGATCACCATCGTACTATCTGAACACTTTTTAGGCTAAAAACCCAGAGGAAATGCAGTCCTTCTGTGGAAATGTATTTTAAGCCTTTTCATTAAAAAAAAAAAGAGAAAACTTTGCTTCTTATTAGGTTTAATCTAAAGGACTAATCCAGGCATTGGTGCTAATAGGCACAGAGTAATATCATGTTCAGTATGACGTTATAATCCCTTCACAATGACAAAAACTTTCCGTGTCTCGTAAGGGAACTGGTTCATGTTGCATTGTATTTGTGATAATAATTTAGCATGAAGACAGAAAGGTTATGGTTATGGAATCTGTGTCAGTTGACAACGCTGTGTTGCGTTAAAAAACCTTTAGGTCTAAAAATAGTTAAATATCCAGAGATCATCCTGTTGTTCAACATTTACACAAAGTAGCATCAGACAAATAACAATAAATACCAAATAATGCCAAAACAGACACCTTACCTCTGACACCTCGAACCAAAAGGTTTTCACTGAGAAGTTGAGATTGTAAACTGGCAACAAAAAAAATAAATATATATCAGTAACTGCACACATGTCTAAGCAGTTCTTTCATAATTCATTTTTAATAAATATCATTTAAATTATTGAATAATAGATGGATTCTCTGCTATGAAGCCCTAATATAAACAACACATTAAAATGATATAAGGTTAAAAGTCTCACTTGTTGAACTAAACCACAGAGCTGTGAGATGTTAGTCGGTCAGTGTCGGCGTGCTGCTCCTGTACGTGGTGTGGACGCTGCGCGAAATCAGACCGTTGGATCCCAGTGTTTGTAAACTGATGTCGACCGGGCAGCTGAGGTCGACGTTCTCTGCAATACACTGGAGAAAAAACAAAAAAAAAGTTGTTGTTTTTTTTTTTTTTAATGACTCAAATTCCCTTTGCAGTAGAAACAGTGACACAGTCCTTGTACCTTGGTGCAGGCTGAGCTCATGACAGATTTGTGGAACTCTCCATCTATAAACACCTGCAGAGTTTAATAAAAAAAAAAAACGTTTTTTGTAAGGAAAAAAAACAACATTTTTTCAAGTCAAGGTTTGAGAAGTTTTTTTTGTGTGTTCCTCTCACCCTGTATCCGTACACAAAGGTGCCGTTACTGCAGCCCAGCTCGTCCAGTGGTGGCCTCTCCCAGCCAATCATGAGGCTGCTCTGACCAACCCTGTTAATGACCTCCACAGACTGCACCTCTGCTGGAGCTTCTGCAGGAGACGGAGAACACAAGCTTGAAATGTGAACTCTGCTAACTTTTTATTTTATTTTTTAACGACCAAATTCTAATAATTTATTTTTACACAGCACTAAATTGTTTGTGAACAATTAACATAAAAACAAAGACGTTGCAGTGCAGACAGGGCCTGGTAAAGCTGGAGCTTTTATAAAAGATTTCTTCACTGCAGCTTGTTGTGTGAGTAATAAAAGAAGAACGCCACTCTGTTAGAAGGTGATTTAAGACTTTCTCCAGAACAAAACACATAAAATGAGCATCTCCTACATTTGAGGCTGGGGATAATTCTGTTAAAGCAGGGGGGAAAAAACACAATTGTAACATTATGCAAACAAGTCTGTGTTGCACAACACTCTGCAAACTGTTAACAGGATGATTAACATATAATGCATGGATAAATATATACATATATACATATGCATTGTAGTAGTAGTTATATATATATATATATATATATATATATATATATACACACACATGTGTATATATACCTAAATATACATACATATACATATGTATGTATATATGTATGTATATATATATACATATAAATATAATGTGTGTGTGTGTGTGAGAACAGTACCTGGTTTCGACCTCAGTGATTTGGTCTGATGGAGACCAGCAGGTGATTTACTCGTGGACTTGTTGGTTCTCCCAGGAGACAAACGAGCAGATGGAGGCCAGGATGCGGTGAGTAAAAGTCCATCGCTTGCTGAGGGAGCCCCATTAAATCTATTAAATTTGGGGGTAGTTGATTTTCCAGGGGCAGTGGTGTCTGAGGCAGTGGCTTTTGAATTAGTGTCACAACATATTAAGTGGTTAGAGTCAACGGCATCGGTCCGCAGGGGCGGAGGAGTGGGAGGACAGTGTGGCGTATCATCAGACGCGTCGGAATTAGCCGAGACTTTCTTTCTTATTTCTGGTGACGTTGTTTTATTAGCACCACTGCTTAAAAAGGACTTGTTATTTGTTGTGGAAGCAGCAGAGGGCGCACATTTATCTTTTTCTGCTTTTAGAGGGGTGAACGCAACATTAGCAGATCTGGAAGCCATGGCGTTGAAGAGGGTTGTGGACTTTGTCGCAGCAGCAGGTTTAGTTGTTTCTATCGGACTGTGAGCCTCCAGGTTTGGAGCTGGACTCACAGGGAGAGGAGTGCTCTGTCTCCTAAAGCTGGAGCTGGGCTGAACCCGGTGAGACAGTTGGTCCAGGTCAGCTGGAGATGAGACAGAGAGGAGGTTCCTGGACTCCTGTCTTCTCCCTCTGCTCACTGGACCCTAGTGGTGAAAGAATATTCATTAACAGACATCTATGGAGTTCAGAGATGTTCTGAGCTGACCATTAAAAACAGCTCTGAGGGAAATGGTGCTGACATCACAGTGAGGTTATGATGCAGTAAAACTGACAGTTTTGGACAATATATTACTAAAATTACAGATAAACAAAAAAAATATATTAAAAAACAAAGAAAAACAATGGAACTTTCTTCTTAGACAACACAGCCAGCTGAACAGAAAGTGAGCAGAGCTTTCACGTCACGGGTGCATTTAAATTGAAGAAAACATATAACAAAACACTAACTCTGCGCTTTCACGCAAACAAATATTCTTCCAGTTTTTTTATATTGTTTGCCTTTGCCTTTCCCAGTTCCCATAGTGTTTCATGGTACTGTAAGTTAAACACACGCCCGAGCAACACCTGTTTGTCTAAATATAACGAAGTTGTAGAATATATTATCTGTATGAAGATGAGGTGAACCCAGTAAAACTGACCTGAAAGCTGTTCTTCAGCGTCCTCTGCAGCTCCTCGTGCAGGCTGATGATCTTCTCGGGGCTGCAGAGCCTCCTACTGGGGCTCACACACGTGCTGGATAGAGGAGAAGTGGAAGCGAGTGTGAGGGAGGATCGGCCTAAGATGCTCAGCTCTGGGGATCTTCCTCTTGCATCAGAATGAGGGAATCCAGAAATATCTAGTCTGGGTGATGAAACTGTTCCACTGGCAGATGGAGCGCCCTGTGGTGACAAAGACAAGAGGGGAACGTCAGAGGGTAACTTACAGTAACACAGAGGAAGTCTGCTGTTGAATGGGTCACCACGAGTGCGTGATGCACTTTGGGTGTTGGTGCCCTTTAAGATTGGACCAATCAACCTGCCAATAACGCCAGCAGAAGTATCGCAGAAGAAGAAGAAGAAGAAGAAGAAAAAAAAGAAGAAGAAGAGAACAAAGTGCATGAAAAATAAATAAAAGCAGAGAGGCTGATAGTTTGAATGTAAAATTGAAGTTGTAAAGTTTTTATTTTGTGACTTCTACTTTACGAAGTGCTTTCAAGCTTTCAGTGTGATGTTTAGAGGTGAACAGCTTCACCAACTGCAGTAGCTCAGCTCTTCGTGTCACTGCTGTGGTACCTGCTGACGTCATGGACATGAGGTGGACTCCTTAAAGTGGATAATTGTTAACTTTAATCGATCTTTTTGGTTGTTGTTACCTGTGCAGCGGTGGTGGTTGAACTTTCTTTAAGAGCTGGAACCACAGGTTTGACTCCGGGGCTGACTCTGTCCTGCACTGGTGTTGGAGGAACAGGTGAGATGGACTTCCTCTTCAGTGTTTCTGTTTCTGTAGCTGTGACCTCACTCCTGCAGCCTCTCTGATTGGTCAAAGACTCACTCGTGGATATGAAAACGTGTCTCTCACTCAGGAACTCTCTGCTCTTTAATCCAGACTCAACCGTGAGTCCGTTGTGTTGTTGCACATTTGCAGGTGTGAGAACAGCAGGGCAGGTGTGATCAGATCGGGGTCCAGCGGTGATGTCATGAAACGTGGAGATGAATCTGGGTGTAAACTCAGCTGTTTGAGTCCTGGTTGTTGTGACGGTCCCGGGAGAGAAGGCGGCGGTGTAGTCCTGCAGAGCTGCGTCACTGAGCAGCTGCTCCACGTGCTGTGTCAGCGTGGAGTCTGCGCAGCCCTGTCTGCGCATCACTTTCACCATCTGAGCTAAGACGCTGTTCCTCTCCTGACACTTCACCACCAGACACGACAACTTGGCCTGTTTTGAGACATAAAACATTTCATTCCACTTCTGCCTGACATGAGCACTGGCATAGGTCAGTGGCAGCTCCACAGTCACCTTTAGAGGAGTCAAGTCCAGATCTGATTGGCTGCTCTTCTTCAGCAGGGCATCATACTACAAACAGATATAGAACACTCTCAGAAACATAAACACAGAGAGGTATTTTTTTAAAGTGAAATTGTTTAATGACCTTGGCGGTTCTGACCTTAGCTCTGATGTCGTTGTAGCGTGAACGAATCGACGTGAGAGCTGCTCCCATGTCTTCCTTACAGCCCTGCCCTAGTTTCAAAGCAATATACTCATAATTCAGCTCCTCCAGAGCCACCGTCTGTGGGACGTGACACACACACGAAACACACACTGTGATGAGAAATGGTGTATGATGAGACGGATACAGTATCTGTGCATTAGCCTCTGTTACTGTGCAGATTTAATTTTAGACTAGAGAATTCTTTATTCGCTATGTAATAAATAAATGAAGCAGCATTCAGTAGGGCCTGAACGATAACTGGATTCAGAAAGTAAAATTTCATGAAAGAGTCTGTAAAAAAGGCTTTATCCTATTGGTCGGTTAAGTCAGTGAACATTTCCTATGACCAAGAGATGGTCTTCCGAATGACCTACAAAAGTAATGTCAAATATTAGTGGTACAAAATTATGACATTTTTCCTCCATTGGATCCCATTTAGTAGAAAATAGACAACAACGTCTGAGAGGAAACTCTAAATCAGGCATGGGCAAACCTTTTGACTCGTGGGCCACAATTTTACTAACGGGGGGGCTTGTCAGGAGCAGTTATTTAATTTGGAAAAGATAAAGTTTAAATATAGTGGAAAATATTTTCATTTTCACACTGACTTTTATTCAAATGGAAATATGGAAATATGTAATAAGTACTTTCTTTTAGGTGTTATATTCTTTATCCATGGTTTCAAAATAAAAATGTTTTTGTTGCTTTGTGGTTATTTTTTATACATTTACTAGGACAAAACTTGTGGTGGTCAAATATGTTGGCTTTAAAGACCTTGTTCTCAATAGCTGTGTTTATTCGTGTTAGCTTAGGTCTTACCTTAGCTCTGAGCTGAGCTGTGAGGATGTTGTATTGTTCCTCTATCTGTGTCTTATGAGACAAGGCTTCAGTTTTCTCCTTCACCAAACCTGTCACTTTAATCTGCAGTTCCTTCACCTGGAACAGACACAAAAATACAACCAGGCTTGACGTGTGTTAAACAGTGTTCCTGGATGTTGATATGATGGATATATGTTTCATGTTTGATTGGGCGACTACCTGTCTGCTGAGATGTTCACTGTCCATCCTGCTTTCTTCCATCTGACCACTGACTTCTATCAGCCTCAGCCCCTTCTCAGCTGCTGTTCTCTCTGCCTCCTCCCTCCTGACCTCTGACTCAGACAGGTCACGCTGGAACTTCTTTGTCTGAACAAAAATAATAGAGTGGTGAATAAAACTTCTGACCTGACCGGAATAAAAAGGTTGGCCAAAAGAATTTTTCATTTCTGAAATACTTGTCTTCCTCTTTGCTAACTTACGCTTTAGCTTTAGCATTGGCTAGGAATACAGTATTTTGGCTCTTTTATCCCAGATTTGGCTAAATTTGAACTATGTTTGTAAACATTGAGCCAGTTCTCTGCCATTTTTAGCCAGCCATGTTCTTAATTTTAGTAGTTAGGTTTTTTTTAATTTAATGTGATGTTTTGTGGTAAAATAAAAGTCCAGCAAAACAGCATCTTCATTACAATATATGTAACATCAATATATAAAAACATTTCCTTAAGTTTATTAAACAGCTTTTTAACAACAAAAAGACTAAAAAAACTCACCTCCATCTCTCTCCTCTCCACTTCCACCTGTGACCTGTGCAGCTGCTCCCTCAAAGCTTCAACTTCTCTCAGCAGATCACTTTGCTCCTGCTTTCAAACCAAACCTCCTGTTAGTTCTGGGTCACATTATCCTCACCAAACATGATGACACCAAAACACGTGGAGTGACTTTGCAGAAATTCATAAATACCTGCACAGAGCTTCCTCCTTGTGTGTCGGCGTGTGTGGACAGAGCTGATTGGAGGCTGAAACGTCCCTCTTTCAGGCCCTGAATCTTGATCATTATTTTCTTTTCCTCCTCTTTCATCGACACGATTGAACGTTCGACTCCTTCCTTTTCCTCTCTCAGACTGCTGACTGACTTTATCAGTTTGTCACGCTCCTCTTTTAAGGCGTGCACCGACTGTTTCTGGTCTCTCTGCTCCTGCAGACACTTCAGGGAAACGGTCAGTTCGTCTCTTTCCTGTTTCAAACTCCTCACTGCTTGGCTCAACTGATGGCTCTCCGTCTGTAAACTCTGCACGTGCTCCTTGATTTGATCTCCTTCTTGCGTGACAGTTAAGAGGTGTTCTGTCAAGGCCTCCTTTTCTATTTTCAGAGCAGACAAAGTGGTTGTTAACTGCTCCTTCTCCTCCTTCAGGGCACTCATGGATAAAATAAATTGATCTTTTTTGTCCTTCAGCCCACAGACCGTCCTGCTAAGCTGTTCCTTCTCCTGTTTGAGACCAGACAGACTCTGGTAGATACTGTCTTTCTCCTCCTTCAGCCCCCAAACGGTCCTGGTCAACTGCTGCTTCTCCTCAGTCTTTGTCTGGACGGACACAGTCACTTCTGCCTGCTGTTCTCTCAGACACTTTATGTTGGCTGCTACTTCTTCCTGTTGAGTTGTGAGGCTCTGGATTGTCTTGTTCAGGTGATCAATTCGGACGTTCAATGGATTGACAAGCAAAAGGTTTTCTGGGTCGTCTTGCGGCAGGTTCCGTTTATTGTTATGACTAAAATCCTCTGCTCCTTCACTGGAAATGTGATTTGGTTCTTGATCCTTTTTGGTCACACGTTCCTCTGATTTGTCCTCCTTCCCACTGTCCAGTCTCTGCTGCAGCTCCATGATGGTGTTGAGATCGTCCTCCGTCTTCCTGGTGAGTTCTGTAATCAAGCAGCCCTGCTCCTTGTTCTCCAGCTCCAACCTGTGTTTGTGCTCCTCTAACCCTGAGGCGTGCTCCTTCAGCTCCTCCTCTCTGAGCTCCATGTGAGCCAGAAGCTGCTGGATTCTGTTGGCCAAGGCCCGATTCTCCTGATTAAGGGCCTGGAGAAGCTCATCCTGGGGAGGAGTGGAGTTGGTATCTGTTTTAGCAAGAGAGGTTTGGAGATGGTCAATCTGCACGAAGAGGAAAGAAGAATTTGATTAGTGATTGGTCAGACTTGGACCTCATTCTTCTTACAACACCTCATGTTCTTACAACATCACGTACCTGTTTTCCCAAAGAGCCAGTGACTGGTGATTCATCCTCGGCCTGATTCCTGAGTTTTAATTTCAGCTGTGCATTCTCCTCAACCACCAGCTCTAGTTTTTCTTGTGCGTTCTGCAGTTCCTCCTCCAATCGATCTCGTTCTTCCTGAAGAGCTTCAAGATCTTCCCCAAAGCCCAGGCTCCTGTAGGCCTCTCTTAAAGCTTCAGTCTCCTCACTCCCGTGTCCCTCGAGTGTGAAGAGTCCACCTGAGTGACAGCTGTCACCTTTAATCTCATCTATCGTTTCTGTAGCCAAGGAAAGTGACTGGAAGTTGAAGTCATGGTTCAAGCCGAATTCTGATTTTAGCTGATTGCTGTCTGCTGACACCTGGTGGAGATTGTGTGTAAATGCAGATGAATAGGACTCATCTATCCTCCCATTCAAAGTCGACTGGACCTGCACATGGATCGAAAGTTAGAAACATAAGTAGCATAGGAGTTTAGACCAAATCTTTATGTGATGACAGTAAACTAAGCAAATATGTCTACTACTATTTTTGGAAGTGAACTTAGAGACTGTCACTGATTTGTAGTTCGAGGAGGGGGCACTGCTCAAAACCAAAGCACTGACATGACATTACCTCTGTGACCTCTGACCTCTGTGCTGAGGACAGTTCTTTGATGATGATGCCGTTAATTGGCCCAGAAAAGGTTGCAGGAAGTCCACTGGGTGAAGTTAACCCAGAATCAGGACAGTCGGGCTCCTGGACTGACGATGTCTGGCTGTCTGTTGGGTTTGCTGCTTCTGTTATGATTGACTGCAGCCTGTGGTTCTCCTCTCTCAGCTCCTCCACCTCTCCCACCAGGGAGCACTCAGAGAGCCTCAGCTGCTCTATCTCCGATTTCATTTCTTCTGTTTTGCAGCACAGTTCCTGGTATTTCTCCTGGGCCTCCTGAAGCTGCTCCGTCAGTGTCCTCCGCTCCGTCATGCCGTCCTCCTCCCTCTCTAGCAGCACCTTCAGGTCTTCCTGCAGGCTCAGGATGAAACCTTGCAGCTTGGACTCATTAGAGCTCAGTTTTGTGTAATCCTTTCTCCCTGCTTCCGTTTCTTTCTCTGACTTCCCCTCATCACCCTCTCGTCCTCCCTCTCTGTCAGACAACACACTCGGCCGCAGCGGCAGCTTCTTCCTGTCCTCTTTTTTCTCCTCCTCTCCCTCTCCCTCCCCTCTCATAAATGTCAGCCTTTCTTGGCCTCCGGAGTGTGTGACCGTCCCAGCAGTGATTCTGACTGCAGTGATGGTTGAAATGCCAGTGGCTGCGCTAACGGTGACGTCCAGCAGCTGCTTTTCCAAGGTGTAGATTCGATTCTGCAGGCTCTGCTCCCTCTCTCTGCACAGACTCAGCTTGTGCTGGAGTTGGCTTTTAAAGTTTTCGAAATACTGGGACTGACGACTCATTTCTTCTTCTTTGGACTTCAGCTGCCTCTGTAATCGCTGCACTCGCTCCCTCCAGACTCGCTCTCCCCGCTCCTTGTCCCGACTCTGAGTTCATTAAATGACAAAACAGAAAAACAAATTGGCTTTTAGGTCAGCCTCAGTACCAGGTTTTAAACAAACAACTTGGAAACAGATCCAGCCGGTCTAAAGAAACAAGTAACCATTATATATGTTTTATTTTAATAGTTTTATTGACAGCTATTTCTATATATATATATTATTATTTACTTGAAAATGTCTTAAAATAAGAGAAGTACTCACCATGATCCTGACCTCGTCCCTGAGCATGTGGAGTCTTTGGTCCAGCCTGCGGGAGTGTTGAATGCTGTGGCAGGTAAAGGCCGGCTGATGTACCACTAGGCTCTCATCTGTCATCTCTGATCCTTACATCACATCACACAAAATCCCAAGATCACATTACCGTGTTAGGAATAGTTAAAACACATTAACAAGTAAGGTTTAGTAACTTAAACTAACTTAAATTAAATAAGAATAAAAAAAGCGAGGAACTCCAGGGGAGTCGAGCTGCAAAGAGAGAACCTGCAAGTGAGCAATTTATTCAGGTGTGATATGTGATATCACCTGAGTCAAAAGTGAGCATATAGTAGCAGGTGTGTGTGTGTGTGTCACAGGATCTGCCCCCTGCCTCTCACCTGTTCCTTCAATAGCCGTCAGACTGGATGGTTAAACCTGCTCTTTGCTCCAGGAACTTCACTCTGCTTCACAGAACCCACAAGTCTGGATCAGTTCCCAGTGCTCACGTCTCCGAGGAGGTCATGTGACTTGGCGACTGCTGTGTCTGTGCCCAGTAGGTGTGTTTGACCTGTGAAGGGAGAACAGAATAATTCAGACTTGTTCAGTGCACAGAGAAAATACTGTGTGTAGTGCATTTCCTCCACAGCAGACAAACGCACAGACGGAGGTAAATACAGGCTTAGAACGTGCACAAAATACTGTCATCCATTATTCACAGTGTCAACAGCTTGGTTGCAAACTGTCCAGCACAGGTTTTCTCAAGTTACTCTGCCTTCTGCATGTAATCGTCATCTGGACAACCTGCAGAAGGTCCTTTATGCGTTCGAGACCCAGAGGAACCACATACTTAATGGCGCCTCCTGTGGGCAGCCTGTATAAGTTGCAAAGACACTGAATTTCCCTATGGTGCAACGAATCAGGGAGTAATGTTTTTTCTTTTTTTCAAACATGTCAGAGAAAATTTGTTTTTTCTTTTTTTCAAACATGTCAGTGAATATACAGCAACTAAATTTTTGAGACACACACCACAAGGTGAGACACACACCACAAGGTAACACATGTGTACATCTGTGTGCTAATACTTAAGCTGGAAAGTTAACTAGTTACTTGCAATCACTTATTCGTTTGTGTAATGTATAACAGACTTCAAGCAAGAAACCACGTCATGAAGAAATTGACTCTGTATAACAGAATAAAAATATTCACGGCAGTAACAGTATTAAATCTAATATATCTCAATGGAACTTCTCTTTTAAAAATGATTCATATTTCACCTGTCTTTGTGTCCACGGGTCAGGTCTGTCCTTCCGATGCACCGTTGTGTAAACTCAGTTCTACTGTTTCCTTAGAGACTCCACGGACTTTGCCAGAGTCCTGCAGGTCCAGCTGGCATTTAGCAGCACTTAGCATATTCTCTCACCCTCCCGTCCCCTGCACTTTCACTCTTCCCCTTCATCCCATCCCTGCTTTTCCATTGTCCGTCTGAGACATTGGCTCTTCTCCCAAAAAAACAAATCCTTCGTGGCTGAGTTCTCTCTCTCTCTCCCAGTAAAACTTTTTGTACCAAGGTCCAAGGACTACAACAGTAAATATGATTTATAAATAAATCTCACTTTGATCTAAATCATAGTTTTCAAATATGTTTACAATCCAGGTAAGTGTCTTCTGCAAAAGTGCACGTACAGTTTATAAAAAGGCCATAGGGTTTTCTAAGCTGTCTATAAATGCATAAAAAAAACAGTTTGTTTCATCGTTGCCTCCACAGCATCTTAACATCTGAAAAGTACAGAACAAAGTACAAAACAATATAAATACTTCCATCAGTATTTGCATTGTTAGGGTATGAAATGACAAAATGTGTCTGGGAATGAGGACGTCACCTGATGTAGGTCCGTGGTCATTCCCATTAAGGCCATAGAATGAAAGCTAGAGAGAAAAACAAAAAGAGGAACAAAAACTAAAGGAACACAAAACGGTGTGATGAAGAAAGAGAAAGAAGAAGAGAGACGTGAAGACCTTAGTACAGTTACACAAAACCTCAAAAGTGCATTAGTCTTCCTCACACTTCCTGCCTCTGCAGCAACCAAGAGTCCAACATGTACCTTTTCCTCTATGTCCTTTATTTGTCTCTTTTGGAAATCAATCCTGTCCTCCAGCTCTCTGATTCTCTACAATGAACAAAGAGAAAAGGTTAAAATACATAAATAAATCTTCTGACATTAAATAAGCTTGAAAACACTCTGTGATTAGGTCATTTCTACATTCAACAAAAACAAAGAGATGCTGAGTGTGTATTCAAATCCAAGTCTTCTTGTAAATAGTCCAAGGTTGCCTGCGCCCTGTCATGCCCTCCGTCTCCATGGAAGCACTGCCGGGGTAAAAAAAATGAGCTGCCATAGCAACTGAAGGGCAGAATCAAAGGTTAGCACTGGTGCAGACTCTAGATCTGAGATTTTAAACCTGAGCAGCTCGTCCTTTAGCTGGACACTTAAGAAGATATTTTAATAGTTATTTTCTTTTAGTATAAGTGTTGCTCAAATGCCTAAATAGTGACACCTTGAGTTTGACACCCAGTAGTTATGTCTTTCAGGTATAACAAGCAAATAAAAAATACATTTGGAGGCGTAACCTTTGAACCCAACAGGAAGTCAGACATTATTAATTTTAGGGCATTTATTTGTGTGTGACTTTTAGTGTTTTAGCAGGAAACTTAATGTTGTTGTATTTTGCAGGTGCAGTAACCTGCAAATGTTAACCAAATTCAATGCAGTAACCTGCAAATGTTAACCAAATCCAAAAGGTCAAAAACATGACTATCTCCATGATTTAACAATGCCATATTTTCACAGCACCACATAGTGGACAGGGAAGGAAAGTCAACCATTATGTGTAGGTAAATGAACCTCACTAACCGCTACTGTATTTGAGACTCCTGTTGCATATCTTTCACCACCCTCAACGTTTTTCTGCCACTCCTGACCTTCTCATAGAGTAGCACTGAATCTTTTCTGGTTCTTATATCTAGAATGTTAAAATGAACTTTTAGTGTGTTAGTTTGCACTTTATTAGTACTGGTATGAGTAAGTTAATAAGTTAGAGTAAAACTGATTAAATGAGGTTTGCGGCCTTCGATGTGGCAAATCAACAACACGCATCAGGCCATGAGTGTAAAACTGAAGGAGTGAGGGGTGTTTTAAGAACACAATGACACAAACAGACACACGCTCTCATCTCCTCACTATTCCACCTCTAGATATACACTTACATGTAAAATTACAGGTACCACACACAGGGATACTGCATCTTTTCGACAGCACCAAAGGTCTGGTGAGGTCAGACGAGTCAGAGACAGGTAACCAGGGCTCAGATTAAGGGTTTGCAGGACTTGGTAACCTGACTCCGTTTGTTAAAGGCCTTACCTGTTGGGCCTGCTGTAGGAGCTCCATACGCTCCTGTAAGATCTGACTGTCATACTGACGACTCTGCCGGAGAATCTGACGCCGCAGCTTGTCCACGGCTAATCTCAGCTCATCCCTCTGCCTGTCAGTCAACGACTCGGCCACCGCTCGACATGATGGCTGCTCCTGCTGCAGAGCGCTATACAGGGTGGCCTCCAGCTCCTCGATTCTCTGCACAGCCATCCAAACACACACACACACACAAACAACAATGATCGTGCACATGCGGATGCAGTAACACAAACAGTCATGCACAAGCAGAGAGAGCACACAGACAGAGAAACACACACACACACACACACACACACACACACACACACACTACTGTGACCATGGCAGATATGGAGAGCACTGTTCCTCATGTGTTCAATGTTAACATAACTTACGACTTACAACTTTAACATGGTAACTTTTTGAGATTTACATTTAAATGAACTACAAGAATGTAATTTGTATTTGTCATAAAAAGTTACCATGTCAATCACATTTTCACAAACATTATAGGAAGTGGCATCACACGTAGGAAGTAATAAAAACGGACCAAACAAAAGATGTATCTCAGTAATAAATACCTCCTAAAGGGGACATATTATGTCACCTGGTGGCAGTGGTTACCACTCAAGTTTGATTCCTTACATAATTATTCATTTAATTGATTTAGGTAGCTTTTGGATTCATGACAGTTGTAGATACCCGTATAAAACATCTACTCAGTTGAAGTATTTAAGGAGTAGACACTCCACAGAAGCAAATGTGCACCTCAACCCTGACCAGGTTAATTATTGCATTATTGCAATTAATTGCATAATATGTCCCCTTTAAATAAATTGTTGGAAAAAAAATACTTCAACATCAACCCATGATATACAGCAATAAAGACATCCTGTTGAACCCTAATGGTGTAGGTGACCACTGCAACAACGTAACACACAATAATCATAAAGACATAATATTTTCATATTTTCTACCAAATTAAAGTTGTTGGGTTTTTTTAATTCTATGAAATCAAGCCAATTATATTGATTTACTTCATTCAGTAAAAGAGCAGTAAAAGATGCAGTATCCCGACACAGTATGACAGCGTTTTCCTTCATGGAGAAGTGGTTGACGTCATGATTTTTAATGGTATCAAACGTAAAGTAAATAGATCGTGCTGAGATGATATATATTGAACTCAGACATGACGTTACAATTCGTTATCAATTGATTATGTCTTGAACTGTGTTACCAACATGACTGGGTGCAGTTTGGTTTATGAGAGTCGTACCATGTAGGCCTGGTCTAAGGCCTGCTTCCTGTAGTCCAACTCTTCTTCCAGAAAACCTTTCTGTTTACTGAAGAGCTCCTGTAACAAACAGTAGACACAGTCAGTCTGTGTAGATGTTAGAAAAGTAAAACACAGAGATGGACGGTTTTAAATTTTAAAAATTGAAACTAATTATGGACTTCTGTGAGGATTACTTTTACCTTTTCATTTTCCAGGTCAATCATCTTCCGGGTCAGTGCAGCCTCTGTGTTATCAATCTGCTTCAACCACTGGAGAGGCGGAGTTGATCAAATTAATTCAAATATATGATTCACATTTTTACTTCACACAATATGATGAAAAGAAAAAAAATCCACAAAAGTAAAAGTTTGTAAAAATTAAATCAAATTATAAAAATCTCACCTTTTCACACAGTGATATCACTGTTCCTGCCTGGATCACTGCGACCTGCTCCTCATTTCTGAGATTCTACAAAACATATTTTAAATGAAACTAGGTGTTATTCTTGCTCTAACTTTGATTACATGAAAAATCTTACTCCATTATCTCCCAGGATGTCCAGTTTCTTCATCAGCTCAGGTATAATCACATCCTGTAGAGGTCAAAGACAATAACAAAGATGTCTTACAAAAAAGAGAGAGAGAGAAAAATTTAAAGAGAAAAAAATAATGAGGTTGTTTTCACCTTGACTCCCTCCTGGTGGCAGTAGATCTGCAGAGCACTGCTGCTGTTCTCAGGAAACGTAGATACATGGAGATTGAGTGCTGGAGATCTGCGCTCCCTCTCCTGCAGGAGAAAACTCTATGTTAACGTTTGTGAAGACAGAAACCACCAGTACAACAGTCAGTGACTTAAACTGTGGTGAAACACAACATGTGAACGGGAAACAGTGAATGTGGCTGAGGTTGTTACTTACATGAGACTGAAAACATGGTCAGGAGCTGAGGGTGAGGGTTCAAAAACCAGTGGTTTAAACAAAGAACAAATCAAATAAAATGGATAATTGAACAATCACATGCTTCAGGTGGCAACTGTCAAATGGAAACACAATCCAGACAAACATGCTACGTGTATAAATAAAAACTTAACCAGTAGAACTGAGTAAAACACACATGGTGATGTAATCCATTTTATTTTGCATTTTAAAAATAAAAATAATAATAAAATAATATACACATACTCAATAAATGAAAACAATCAAATCTCAAGAAAATTCATGCAAAATCCAAACAGAAAAAAACAAAAGGAAGATGGAAGACGAGGTGAACTTAAATTTTTTTTTATTATTATTTAAAAATTATATTCATCTCAACACAATTTTACATCAACAAAACACATTCCAGTTCAGTGGAATACACACAGCTGCCATGCAAAAACAACATGGATGTACAGAGATGGTCAAGTCAGTCAGTCGGTCGGTCAGTCAGTCGGTCAGTCACTGTATGTAGTTCTTGTGTCTGGAGTTGACATGGTTGTTGTCCCACTCTGCTGACAGTTTGACTCCAGTACAGTCTCTTACTTCCAGTTCCAGAACTCTGAACTCCAGCAGCTCGTTCTGGTCTCGGGCGTCTTGAACCTCAGCCTGCAGCCGTGACTCCGCCTGCTGTAACGCACACATCTGCAGACAGACACACACACAGCTTTGTCATTATAACAATAATTCAAATATTATGGTTTTTTCTTTGTGTTTCCAGTGCATTCAACTCATTTCAAACTTGTTTTATTTATGTATATATGTACATACATGTACATATATACATAAACACACAAACACATATATATATATGCACATACTGTATGTAAATACATGTATACATATATAGTATATACTGTATAGTAAAAATATCAAAATGTACTTTTCAATAGTTTTTTAAATTTAAAGACAAAGGTGTTTTTTACAAATATAGTATATTTTACTGGTAAGGGAAAGGTGTAGTATTACTCTAAAAAAGTATGTGATGCACAAAGGTTGTCATCGTCTACCTTCTCATGCAGCTCCTGGTTGGTCCTGAGCAAGTACTGC